GAATAAACCTGCAATCTTTCACTACCCGACACAGCCCAATAAACAATTATTGTCACGTGTGCGAGCATTTAACGCCCCAATAATTATTAGTATTATTAGTTCAGCTCACCGGTAAAGCTGCATATTAATCCTCACAACCGAATTTTGCAATTAGATGATCACGTGGCCTAACCGCAAACATCTATTACGAATTATAATATTATCTGGGCAAAAAACAAACAAACCTACGTTTTACGTGATATCATTGGTGTACAGTCGTCGCTGACCCAGGCCGTGACCACAAACTCATCACTTTTGATGGCCTGGTTTAATTGTGGGTGACAAGCCCATGCACAAACCCAGGATCTCAGCAGCGCTGACTCAATGCTCTGACCTCTGAACCACCACGGATCACAGAGAGCAATAAACCGGCTGATGCAACGTATAACACGATTTCGAAAACAGAGCAATCATCCGGTGTTACTGCTACCGTTGGTAATCTGATTACAGGAACGCGGTACGCTAGCCGATGCGTTCCTGGTCGTGAAAATTATTTAATTTGATGTTTTTGTAGCTGCCATGTTAGGGACGCGAATGAGCCGACGGGTCCGTGAGTAGTGTGCATCGCGTGCAAAAGCAGCCTGAATTATTTGTGTTACCCGCAGAGTTGGAAAGTCGAGGATGAAGTGTGAATTCTGATTAGGTCCGTGCTGAGCAACCGGAGTCCGTGTGCGTGCAAGGCTGCGGTGACCCCCTTAGTCCACGTTCAGGCGCCCTGCTGGTTTTATTTTATTTTAAAGGAGCTCAGTTGGTGCTCAAAGCCCCAGGACATCCGATGGTGGCTGTCATGCCCTAGCGCCTTATGGTCAGCATCCTTAGGCAATGGGCCCTGTGAATATCAAAACGTGGGCCAAGCCAGTCCATTAAGTGAGTTAAAAAAAATTCTCCCTACTCAAGCAAGCATTGGGCAGGGCTTAGCTCTGTTGCCTGTTTGTTTGTCCTGGGCCAGTGGTGGACAATTCACATTCCTGTGACAGAGACCAGGGATTCCAAACGGGCCCTAATTAAGTGAGGATCTAAGACATTCATAACGTGTCAGTCACAGCCACCGAGCCGGTCCCATTGACATCCTGGGTTTGAACATGGCTCTCAGATAGCGTGGCGCTGCTACGAGGTGGGACTTTGGCTCCTACTGAACCACTTCGATTGTTTTGCTGCTATAATTGTCCAAATGATGGGCCACTGTGCTGAGCTATCATCTGTGATTGCCAGGTCGCTTCTGAAAAATAAGTTAATCCTGCATAATGCACGGGCATAATATGACTTTGAAAATCCCCCGCCCACCTCCTACGCATTTCACAAGTAGTATTAATCACATATTTGCATTTCCCATAAATATGCTAAATTCCTCTTGATATGCAAATTATTTTGTCAAGGCGCTCTTCCCCTTCCAACCCAGCTTAAATATATGCTCCAAGCGTGGTGGTGTTTCATTCAGACGCTGTCTCCCCGACAGACCTGGTCTTCACCTGAGGACGGCTGCTTGCGTTGTGGCCGAAACGTCGTGAGAATTATTTTATGTTTTATTTTTATTATTTTATTATTTCCCTTCTACGTGACTTTACCGAAAGAACCAAGAAGATGAACCTCTGGGAGCGTTGCCCGGTATGATGGGGGTGGTTTAGTTTTATGTCTACGTGTTTGGATGATTTGTTTACCTTTCATGTACTTTGCACCCTTGTGTTTTTGCACTGTTTGTTGTTGTAACGTCCCGACTGGACGTCTGTGGAATAGAGCTTCATAGCTCATCGGATTTCCTCCTGCAGTGTCAATACAAGATTCTGATTCTGAACGGTGTGACGTCACGACGTGGCCCGCTCGGCCAATGAGGGCGCAGCTTCCCATAACGTTCGCTAATGGGGTCAGTCCCATAAGAAAGCCCTCTGGAGCACTCTGCCCAACGGACGAACCCCGAGTACGGTGACCTGATAAGTCATCGACGCAATACGTAAATCACTCTTTTTATGGGGGGGTCATCTCGATTGGTGGCCGCAAGCAACGTGGCGAGAAGTCGATGTTGCTGAGGTCAAGGGTCAGTCCGCTGTCTATCCATTGGACGACCAATGTCTACTTCCCGACGAGGTTACTCATTTCTTCGGTGGGCTGACGAAACATCTCGGGATTTGAACTCACGACCCAATCGTGAAGCCGAGTGCTCCGCGTTGCCGCCCGGCTCGATTGAAACGTTTCTGAAATAACAGCGCAAATGATGGTTTAAGGTTGCCGTGCACAGGATTGGCCATCTGGTGGGCCATACGGTCTGAGATGCATGTTCAACTGTGGGCTTGTGTGTCATTGAAATCCCACCAGATTCGGATTGCCTCTTGGGCTGCGTCCAGCAGTGAACAAAGGTGCAATGTTAATTATTAATTCGACATCGGTTGTATTGGCAGAGTCTGAAATGGCAGTGCCCATACGTGCCTCGCAGTTACTAATTAGCGTGTTATTTGCTGTGCTTCGTGGTGGATGCGACATCGCTTGGCGTGGCGCGATGACCACCACAACCACGTGACTTTTATTTCGTGTTGTGCGCGGTGCTTTTAGCGCCACAGCGCGTGCATTTGTAGCGTTTATTTTCATTTGTTTGCTGGTGACTTTGTGTATTTCATCATTAGACCTCTTTTGCCAGTACCAAAATATAATAATAGGGTTTTCTCCCTTTTTTCTGGCAATAAAACTGAAACCTTTTTACAAGGATTCATGTCTGCATTAACCACAATACTTGCAGTCAAATGCAAACAAAAACACACTGATAATATATGCATTGTCCTTGTCGAGGCTCAAAAGAAAGCCGTCCCTTGGTGTGGACCAATCAGTTTCAAGGACAATGCAAATATTATCATAGTGTGTTTTTTAGCATAAAACATAATAAAATATAATTGTATTTTATTATGTTTTATTTGTATTATTTTATTATTTCCCTTCTACGTGACTTTACCGAAAGAACCAAGAAGACGCCTCCTCTATGGGGACCTCATTTGCCAGTAAAAATATGATAATTGGTTCTTTACCCTTCTATCTGGCAACAAAACTGACACCTTTTTGCAAGGAGTCATGTTTGCATAGACCGCAATACCTGCAGTCATAATACAAACAAAAGAACATAACTCTGATAATGTGCACTGTCCTTGAAGTTGATTGGTCCACACCCGAGACAGCTTTCCTTCGAGCCTAGTCTCGTATGGGTTGGACCAGATGACGCCAAAAGGCGCACAACTCAAGGACAATGCACCATCAGAGTATGAGAGCTCGGGGCAAGCATCTACACTATGGGGACCTCATTTGCCAGTAAAAATATGATAATTGGTTCTTTACCCTTCTATCTGGCAACAAAACTGACACCTTTTTGCAAGGAGTCATGTTTGCATAGACCGCAATACCTGCAGTCATAATACAAACAAAAGAACATAACTCTGATAATGTGCACTGTCCTTGAAGTTGATTGGTCCACACCCGAGACAGCTTTCCTTCGAGCCTAGTCTCATATGGGTTGGACCAGATGACGCCAAAAGGCGCACAACTCAAGGACAATGCACCATCAGAGTATGAGAGCTCGGGGCAAGCATCTACACTATGGGGACCTCATTTGCCAGTAAAAATATGATAATTGGTTATTTACCCTTCTATCTGGCAACAAAACTGACACCTTTTTGCAAGGAGTCATGTTTGCATAGACCGCAATACCTGCAGTCATAATACAAACAAAAGAACATAACTCTGATAATGTGCACTGTCCTTGAAGTTGATTGGTCCACACCCGAGACAGCTTTCCTTCGAGCCTAGTCTCATATGGGTTGGACCAGATGACGCCAAAAGGCGCACAACTCAAGGACAATGCACCATCAGAGTATGAGAGCTCGGGGCAAGCATCTACACTATGGGGACCTCATTTGCCAGTAAAAATATGATAATTGGTTCTTTACCCTTCTATCTGGCAACAAAACTGACACCTTTTTGCAAGGAGTCATGTTTGCATAGACCGCAATACCTGCAGTCATAATACAAACAAAAGAACATAACTCTGATAATGTGCACTGTCCTTGAAGTTGATTGGTCCACACCCGAGACAGCTTTCCTTCGAGCCTAGTCTCATATGGGTTGGACCAGATGACGCCAAAAGGCGCACAACTCAAGGACAATGCACCATCAGAGTATGAGAGCTCGGGGCAAGCATCTACACTATGGGGACCTCATTTGCCAGTAAAAATATGATAATTGGTTCTTTACCCTTCTATCTGGCAACAAAACTGACACCTTTTTGCAAGGAGTCATGTTTGCATAGACCGCAATACCTGCAGTCATAATACAAACAAAAGAACATAACTCTGATAATGTGCACTGTCCTTGAAGTTGATTGGTCCACACCCAAGACAGCTTTCCTTCGAGCCTAGTCTCATATGGGTTGGACCAGATGACGCCAAAAGGCGCACAACTCAAGGACAATGCACCATCAGAGTATGAGAGCTCGGGGCAAGCATCTACACTATGGGGACCTCATTTGCCAGTAAAAATATGATAATTGGTTCTTTACCCTTCTATCTGGCAACAAAACTGACACCTTTTTGCAAGGAGTCATGTTTGCATAGACCGCAATACCTGCAGTCATAATACAAACAAAAGAACATAACTCTGATAATGTGCACTGTCCTTGAAGTTGATTGGTCCACACCCGAGACAGCTTTCCTTCGAGCCTAGTCTCATATGGGTTGGACCAGATGACGCCAAAAGGCGCACAACTCAAGGACAATGCACCATCAGATGCTTGCCCCGAGCTCTCATACTCTGATCCATATATACAACCACATATACATACGGTGTAGACTTAGACGTTTCACCATATCCCTCGCAGCCGATTTCGCTTTGCGGTTCATCCTGTACTGTGCAGTCGGGGATTGTAAGCTTGTCGGACGCGGGTTGTAGTTGCGACGACTCGCTGTGTTCCGCCGGCCCGTTTACCGCAGAGAGGAATACTGCGAGATCTACCGGGCGAAGGACAAGTCGACGGGAAAGGTCTACGCCTGCAAGAAGTTCATAAAGAAGGACGGACGCAGAGTTCGCAAGATCGCCAACAACGAGATCACAATCCTCAAGATGTGAGTGTTGAAGACGCCGCGCGCCAGCTTCAGTGAAGGCTTTTCTACTCTTAGGTTTTTTTTCGGTAAATAATCAAAATAAAATAATATAAATAGAAATAAAATTATTATTACTATTTCTATTATTTTATTTTATTATTTATTTTTTACCTACGTGACTTTACCGAAAAAACCCTAAGAGTATGAATCCTTGAAGTCACGAAAGCTTCAAATCTAGAAGGCTTTTCTGTCGTTAATATTTCATTGTTGTAATAATGAGAATGATAATCGATTGTGAAATCACAATAACAATTGTCAGTATCAAAAGCAGCAGCGGCTTGAGCCTCAACAGCGTCATCGTCATCATCGATCGCAGAAGCATCATCAGCAGCAGCTTCATAATCGAGAGCAAGAGCATCATCATCATTGCCATCATCATCATCAGCAGCAGCAAAAGGGGCTTCATAGTCAACAGCGGAAGCTATCATCATCATGATGAGCAGCAGCATCTTCATCATCAACAGCAGAAGCGTCATCGTCATCATCGATCGCAGAAGCATCATCAGCAGCTTCATAATCGAGAGCAAAAGTATCATCATCATTGCCATTATCATCATCATCAGCAAAAGGGGCTTCATAGTCAACAGCGGAGACTATCATCATCATGATGAGCAGCAGCATCTTCATCATCAACAGCAGAAGCGTCACCAACGTCATCATATATAACAGCACCACAATTAGCATCGTTGGCTACGTACAGTGCGAAAGACGTTAATCATACGTACAGCAGAACCATCATCAGTTATAATCATCATCATCAGCAGCAGCAGGATCATCATCGTTATTAAGAGTATCAGCACCGACTTCATCATCTTGATAATCATCACCATCATCGACAGCTGCAGCAGCATCATCATTATCATCATCAATATAATAATAATCAGCGGCAGCAGCAATAACATGTGTGCGACGCGTCCCGTGCCCCGTTGCGTTCCAGGGTCAAGCACACCAACATCCTGCAGATGGTCGAGGCTTTTGAGACTCGCAAGGAGCACTACGTGTTTCTGGAACTGTGAGTCCGTCACCCGGCACCACCTCGCTCGCCCGTCGATTACAAGCAGACACTCAAACTTTGAGTTCATCAAATGCGCCATCGTCCTTAAAAGCAAGGCCTCTCGTTGTGCATAATGTATTATCCTCCGTTTAAACCGGGGGGGGGGGGGAAAACTGTGCCATTAAAATAATTACGTCAATCTGCAGCCGTACATTTTGTGACATTAACCGCTTTCCTGCTCAGATACGTCTGCAAGTTGCAGGGTGGGTGTCTCGTACACCGCTGAATCTCTGAACATGCAAGCGGTTAGCGTTAATGTTTTTTAGAGAGGCGTAGTAGCGACACGACCGCTCTCTATGATAGCTGGTGCCAAATTGTGCCACGCCCTCCCGCATGGCCTTGTGGAAGCCTCGATACGTCTTCCGACATGAAGTTACTTTACGTCATCGGAATGGGAAAGGGTTCATTTAGTTTTCATCTGTGAATGCCGGGCTGAATAGGTTAATATTTAAAGTAATTTTTAAAAACTTTTGATGGTCATTGCGGTCCCCCTTTTCCGGCGAGAAAGGTAGTTCACATCGTGGGTAGGAGCCGTGAAAGCAACAGGACGGGCTCCAGATGTTTGCAGTCGCAACCCTGGGGATGTTTAGCGATCTCTCATTGCCATGGGCGGTATCTGTGCGTACGCGCTGACAACGATAAGCGCGGACAGCATCCCTAAGGCTAAGCCTTTCCAGGCCACAGGTTGCAAGTGTCGGCGTGGCGCACTTCAGATGTTATGGATAGGGCCATGCCCGGCCACCTTGGCCTTCCGCCGAATGCCAATGTTCACACACTGCACCAGGTACACATGTTATTGTCAAATCAACTTAAGGGGCACTTAAAAAAAATCACAGTGGCTGAGCACAGGCCTAAAGGCCCGAAATGCCAAGTGGCCGGCAACAAACAGCACGTTCAAAGTATTTAACAGATGAAAGTTAACGCGTTTCTTGAATTGCTCAGTTATCATCGTCGTCGTCGTCATTATTATCATGAGAGCTTGGGGTAAAAGAGACGATGGGAGGGAATTCCCAAGTGGACCAGGGCGAGGGAGGATGACGCAGAGAGAGAGATGTGTTGCAGACAGAATTCTGGTGACGCTCTCATTTATGCTTGATGGGTGGCGCTTGGATTTTTTTTTTAAGTTCAAAGTTAATTTATTAGGTATAGCCCTGTGAACCATTCGGCTCTTGAATCGGGTGCAACCGCAACAAACAAAAAACAAAAACATGAACAAGAAAACATCTTAAAGTGACTATGTGACTGAGTGCAAACAGAAAATCCAAGAAAAGACAGCAAAATATTGCAGAAAAAGCACCGTACACCAACGCTGTGCAAATATCCCAGTGAGATGCAAATCAAACAACAACAACCACAAGACAACTTAGATTAAGGCCATCAGTCTAACTCTGTACTACAACAAACAAACATGGCCAAACCAAAAAACTTTTCGAAAATCACCAAAATAAAGCCATAAAAGCAACGAAACAGTGCTCATAGGAACTGTGACCGAATTTTCACAATGAACGACGAACCACCGACCTGCTCACAACTCTTACTGACTCCATCGCGCACATTGAGTTTGGACTTCGTGGACTTGTTTCATGAAGAGTTTTTTTTTTTAACTGTCGAAGCTACGGAACATTGTGTTTAAGAGGGGGAGAGAGATAAAAAGAGACACATCAATATATTTACTTCTCAAAAAAAGTGTTTAATATCCAGGAACGCGATGTTATCCGTCGGTGTTTCGGGGTGTTTCCCTTTATAATATAGGTTTTTTTTTTTGGGTTAGATCGCGTAAATATACGTGTCGTTAAACCCGCCATAGCCAATTAGTAAGGTTTGCTATGCTCTCAGATTGTAAATGTTGTGTATTTGCTCTCCAACACACCGATGGTGCTGTACTAGTAACGAATTGGCACGTTCTGTTTACTTGACAAACCTTACTAATTGGCTGTGTCGGGTGGTGGTTGGTTTAACGGCACAACATTTATATATTTACGTGATGTAACCCCCCAAAAAAAATACCTTGTATTATGGATGTGATATTGGTCGCGAAAGCATCCTCCTCCTCCATGTTAAAATGTTCCACTTTGCTGCAATTGTGCGGAAGATCGACGCAAAATGTAGCCGGCTCTCCAATCCCGCTCACTGTGAAGAAACGTAAGTGTGAACACAAATCTGGCTGTCACCTGATGAAGCTGGTTGTAATTACTGGCGAAACGTCGTACTCAGATTGTAAATGTGGTGGCTTGGCACTCCAACACACCGGTTAGTGCTGTACTAGTGACGAATTGGCCACGTTCTGTTTACGTGACAACCCTTACTAGTTGGCTGTGTCGGGTGGTGGCGGGTTTTAACGACACATTTATATACGTACGCAATCTAACCCAAAACAACTCTGTCATGTGAACACAACAGCAACAACAAAAACAACAACAGCACGGTGTGTTTATAGTGTACACCCTCAAGCACATCCCAAGACTGTACAAAACAGTCGGTGGCATGCTGCACATCACGGGAGGGGCAAATAAGCAATTCATACAGAGCAGTGTTTGTCAAACTCTTCTTAGGCCCGCAGGCCACTCTGCCGATGTAAACATTTTACGTGGATCACCCAGTGTCCCCCTCCCCTTCCCTGGCGACAAACACACATTCGCTCATCTCCGGCTAAAAATACCCACTCGTACAAAATGATTCGTTCATATTTTCCGCAACAGATTCTTTTCTCCCTTTTTTTGACGCAGCTATAAAGGCTTTTAGATTGTAGGGTTAGAGTCGTTTAATCGGGGTAATTGACCTAACGTCATTTTATAATTAAATGAGTAAAATATGAATTAATGTTCGAAACAAAAAGGTATGAGCGTTAGTCATTATTTGCGGATAAACCCTGCATTTGGATCACCGCCCGACAAACCATCTGGAGGAGTATCATGGACAACTCGTGGTTCCAGGGACCATGCTCTTGACAACCGCTCATATAGACAAAGGGAACGTACCTTCCGTATAGCCTTTAACAAACTGTTGGGGCAAGTGCTGTTAGTAAGTAGCACCAATGAAGGCCAACACGGCACACGACGGGATGGATGGCCAACACCACGCCCGACCGCCTTTGCCTCCCCAGTTGGCGATGCTTTTACACACCGCACCAGGTACTCATTTGAGGCTGAGTCGACCTAGGGCAAGCCCAGCACCGGCTCAGATAATTATTCCTGGCGTTGGCCGTGAATTGAATGCGGGTCACCGGGTTCGTAGCGCAGCGCACGAACCCCTACCGCGCTGTATACGTACACGCGCTGCTCGACTTTTGATTTCCCGACCCGTTGCCTCTTTTTTCCCCGAGACGTGAGTGAATCTACGGATAGCCCCGAGTATTACACGGCCCGCGATATTGGTGATCACGACGGACAAGGTGGACTTTTGTCGCTGAGTCGTTTAATGCCGTTCTGAGCCACGGCTGTGCCTCCCAGCTCAATCATCCTCCCCCTCCCTCCTCTCTCCTCCCCGTTGTTCTGTGGGGGAATTTTTTTTCCAACGTTCTGAAGGTTGCGGGTTTAAATCCTGGTTGTGGTCCACCGAGCCAATCATCCCCGTTAAATGAGGTGCTGCTTTGTTGTAAGTCGGCGGCGACTTCTATATGCGTATTCATCGATCGAACGTCATCTCTTGTAGCACCCTTCACGATCAAATTGTCACAGAGCGCTTCACAGACTGAGTTCTACCATAGGAATGCACAATTTCCACCACCCGCCTGAAAGGCTGCTATCAAAGTGCAGTTCCATGGGTTCCTGAGCACGGGGATGAGGCAGTCAACTGACTTGGGCAAACTGGGTTTAATCGTGGGTGGCACAAATCCAGATTCAGAACCCACGCTCCCCCATCGGCGATGGCTCCGTGACTGACGGGAGAGCCATCGTCCGTGCCCCGAGCCACCCGAAGCCACTTAACGCGTATTTCCCCCCCCAATTCTTTTTAAATGTAGAACCTTAATTGGGTATGTTTTAGCTTGCTTTGTAATTATGAGGACATCTTGCTTCTGATTTGCCGGTGAAAGTTAATTGCATGGGTTGCACTGGCAAAAATAGCAATGCAATTACATGGCACACCAGGTGTGACACCCACATAATGTCAAGAAGTGTGGTTCAAAGTATATAACAGACGGAAATTGTTGTTTGTCTATTAATTTATTTTCTACCACTAACATTTTTAAAGGGTGCAATTAATGTAAACAGCCTTCATTGCCCCCTCCGCAAAAAAAGTCTGCTCTTGAAATGTGTTCGAACCATTGTAAGCCACCAATTGTCGTAGTTTTTTGTGGGCGATGGTGTTTTCTGCGTGAAATACGAATGCCCGTGTTTAAACACCCGCCCGAGGATGCAGCAACGCGCCCAATAAACACAGCGTCCTGAACCTCGGCGGTTTCCCCCTGCTGCGTCAATGGTGAGTCACCTCCGTTGGCTTAGGGGGGCCGTAAGCCGAGAATCGGTGCCTTCTTTCCGTGCTCATTTTAGCTGGGGGGGGGGCGGGGGGGGGGCGACACTTTTCACGAGGCTCGTCAGGAGGGTCCTGCTCGCAACGGTTGGGTCGTTTTTAAATCCTTTATATTAAGTTCACTTGCTTGCTTGCTTGCGCGCTTACGACCGTGGAAATCTTTCGGTCCTTTTTTAACCCACTTCCCGTGATCCAATCGAGCTGACATGTTGCACACAGACTCGTTGTGCGTGACAATTTATTGTCGTGAACATTTTTTCCAAAATTTTCCACTTTTTAGGAAAAAAAACATTTCATATTTAATTTAAAATACCAATGTGATAAAAATGAAACTCTTACTCAAGAAAAACAGAAATGAATAATAAAATAAAACCGATGGCACGCATATAAAGGATTTAGAGTGAAAAACTTTGTTTTTACGGGTTAATTTTTTTTTAGCTTAACAGCGCCTGTTGGAAATTCGAGCGAACGACGGAAACCCACCGGCTGGGAAGGACGACGTTGAAATCGCAACCCGTGGAGGTTTGAGCGCCTGCTTGCTCCGCTTCCCACTCGCCTGGCAGCTCTCATCGCACCGCGCGCCGGTGGACGCCTCGCAGGGAGACGCTGACCCCAAACCTCCAATCCAAGCGGGGGTCGCAAGCGCGCTTTGTGTCCTGAACGGGCCGCGCGCCAAGGAAGGCATTTGGCGGATGAAACCCGGCCGGGATTTAAAGTCAATCTGTGACGGGAACGTGCGCTGTGCACGGGAAGCCCATTCGTTTCCGAGTGATCACAATGCCTTTGAATTCCCATCCAGAATCTCAGCGGCATTGTGGCTTTGTGTCTTTAACGCGGTAATGCCGCCGGCAAAAAGCCCCCACCCCCCCTCGCCCCCCCCCCCCCCACCTAGTTGCCCACCGACTACACCATTGCCATTTTTACAATTCAGTGCAATGGAGAGTTTCACTTTTGCCAAGCGTCTCACGGCGAAGGTTGTGGTTCGCACAGGAGTTGGGGGGTCACGTAAGGTGGACAAATAACAAACGGATGAATGCATGTGGACGAAAGGAAAGCAGATGTCCACCTGGGGAAGAGTGCCATGTTGTGAAGACCGCGTGTGGTAGGGTAAAGTGTGGGTACTCCCACCCCTTTGAAGTTGTCCGACTCGCATGGAAGAGTAGGCCAAATACGCTCGCGAGGGGGGCTGTCTAGGGCTCCCTCCAGTCGAGGCCCATTCCACCAGCAGTGGCACGAGTGAGCAGTTGCAGGCTGCGCCTTTGTCTTTTATAGAGGCGCGAGTTACAGTGGTCAAGCTGGCCTTTGACGAACGGCTCACACAGCAACCTGTTGGCAATTGACCGGCTCATTCAACGGTGAAAGGTCAATCGCAAGTGCAGACTCCGAGAGACGTCGTCCCAGAGGTCGTCGCTCACCCTCACCGTGTGCCCTCTGGGTGGTGGCGGCGGTGGTGGTGATGTGTGCGGGCCGGGCGTGCGTTTGGGTTGCAGGGCGACAGGCCGGGAGGTGTTCGACTGGATCCTGGACCAGGGCTACTACTCGGAGAAGGACGCCAGCCTGGTCATCAAGCAGGTGCTGGAGGCCGTGGCCTACCTGCACTCGCTGGGCATCGTCCATCGCAACCTCAAGGTGCGTGTCCGCCCTGCGGCCAGGGTGGCGGGACCAGCGCCGCCGTCACCTCCCGAATTCACGCGGTTGGCTACGTACGGCGCGAAAGAAGTTCAGCGCACACACGGTGCAATCGGGGGAATTGGCGTCTGCCTTGGGGTGGCAGTAGATTTTTTTGAATGAGATCCGGCACCGGCGCGCCGCTGAACAGTCACCCGTCCGGCTGTGGACCGGCTCGCGATGTCGCCGATGTCGCCGTCGTGTGAGTGAGTTGCGTTTTCCCCGCTGCACGGAGCGCTTTGCATCGCTCTTCACTCCAAATATACGGCAGGCGTCAGGGTCGGGATCGAACCCACGACCTCCTGTACACCAGACGAGGTAGTTAACATCTCCTAGCCCCCGCCGTGGGCTGGATCCGCTTGACAAGTTCAAGCTCTCATCATCATCATCACCACCGCAATATCCCGTGCAGTGTTTTGACAGCGAGACCGTGCGCCGAGCGAGAAACGCGTCCGACTGAAGCTGGCCACTGGGCTAGAGAGTTTCGTGCCCAATGGACTCTGTTCGTCGCGACCTCCGTGCCGCGCCGAGGTTGCCCCGTTCGTGTCGCCCCGATGATGTCGTCGTCTCACGCAGCTCGAGAACATCGTCTACTACAACCGCCTGAAGCACTCCAAGATCGTCATCAGCGACTTCCACCTGGCACGCGCGGAGGACGGCCTCATCAAGGAGCCCTGCGGCACGCCCGAGTACCTGGGTGAGTGAATAGCGGCCGTGGTGAGCGTCGGTTTAGGAACGCCGTATGTGTGTTGAACTTCTTTCGCGCCGTACATCGTCAGCCGTGCTAAACGGAGGTGCGGGGGGGGGGCAGGACAACAAACTAAACGCAAAAATAAGCTCCGAATGAATGAGTCATCGATCTAGACGATGATTTAAAAGTGCACAGCTCCCAACGGCTTCCTCGTATGAGAAGGAAGAACGTTCCAGACGGCATCTGAGAGCGCCGCGCGATGCGGTGACCCTCGCAGCCGCTGCCGCCGCTGCGAGGGTGAGCGGAGTTGGCGTGACGGTGATCTGCCCTCCTCGACGAGGTCAGCGGGGTGCTCGCAATCGTCACATCTCATGTCAGCACATTTGAAAAGCGGCATCCCGAGTGGCAGCAGCAGCAGCAGCAGCTGTCTCGGTGCGGCGCAAGGCGACTTGGGCACCTGGCATGCGAGTCGGCATTCGTCTGGCAGTCGGGGGGGATGATTGCTGATGTGCCTACTCGCAATCGAGGGGTGCAAGCCATCACGCAAACTTCGGTCATCCTCGCAGCGGCTTTGACTCGTCACTGCATCGCAGTGCACTCATTGGGCCGTCAACCCCCTCTGTGCCGGCGGTGTCACGAGCATTACCGCCTCACGTTTGTTGATTTTTCTCTGGAGTTTTTTTTCTCTTTGTAACGCCACGTGCAAGATACTCGTAAAAAAAGGCAAAACAAACGACTCTACTGCGGAGGTATTCCAAAAGAAGGGTCCGAAGGCTGAGCAGAGCTGTTGCCGGGTCAATCGAGGAGCAACTTCTGTATTTACTAAACTATCCCGCGAACAATAAACCAGCACAAAAGCCCGCACGCAGGATGTACAACAGAAACAAAGACAATGATCATCCATACAGCCTGACTGGACATCTGTGATAAAGGGCTTCTTGGCTCATCGGATTCCTCCAGTAGAAATGCACATTCTGATTCTGAGACTGTTGTGGCAAGTGCTGTTAGCGAGCACCTATGAAGGCCGGCACGGCACAGGAGGGGGTGGGTGGGTGGCCAGAACCACCTTTGTCTCCCCAGTTGCGATGTTTACACATGGCACCGGGGTGCTCATTTGAGGCTGAGTCGACCGAGGGGAGGCCCAGGGCCGGTTCAGATAATCGTCACTGGCGATGGCCGTGAAAGCGGGTGAATGCGCACGCACGCAGTGCGAGTACGGCGCCGAAGAGAGGACAGCTTACAACACAAGTCACAAATGGGCTGCAGAACGCCGGCGTTGGAACCTTTTGTGCTTTTCTCATTCGAAATAAGTGGGGCAAAAACACAATCTGAAAAGAGCCGTGGCCGAGATTGCCATTTTCCTGCAGCATTAGCAGTGAGGGGAATAAAGCATTACCCCTCCCCCCCACACACACACATACCTCCACCATCCCTGCTCCCGCTAGACCAGCGGTCGGGAACCTATGGCTCGCGAGCCATATATGGCTCGTCCGGTGACGGCATATGGCTCCCAGACAATTTTGAGTTGAAAAAAATAATAATAATAAAATAAAAATAAAATACTTGTGATATTGCTTCATACTACTGTGTCATTTTAAAGTAAACAGAAATTAGTTTTGAAGATAAAATTTCTCGGGTCACGGGTCCCGTGACCAGAAGTCGCATTAAAAGTAAGACATATTTAATTTATTATACGTTAAAAATACCATATGGCTGTCAATGAAATATATTTAGAAATATTTGGCTTTTATGGCTCTCCCAGTCAAAAAGGTTCCCGACCGCTGCGCTAGACAGAACACGGCTCGAATGTAACGCGTAGTGGAACAAGGGCAGTCGAACAGAGACAGCCCCTCTGAGGGAGTGCCGGTAAAAATAGGGCCCACAAAGCCTGCAGACATGGCCTTTCATACGGCGAGGTTTGTTTGAATAAAATTATCATTAGCATGTAAGGCTCCTGAGATCTGCAAACGAAATGACAAGACGAACATCTCTCATCCTAACACCCCCCCCCCCCCATAGTCTTGCCAGGAAGTGGCGATGTTTTTTTTACACACCATACCAGGTACTCATTTAAGGCTGAGTCGACCTAGGGAAGGCCCAGGACCGGTTCAGATAATCGCCACTGAATCGGATTCGTGGTTGCTGTGTTTTGCAGTGAAGTGCACTCACCACTTACACCGCCAATCGCTGCATATTTGTTTCAGGATTGGGCTGTTTGACCAAAAGCAGTCACATTGTTCGTGGTGTTTTGCGCTACAGGAACAGATTTTAGAACCTGGAGGGAACCCATCCAGAACAGGTGGAGAACATACAAATCTGGCTGTGACGGTCCCACCTGATGACGGAGACTTGTGTTGCCTCCGAAACGTCGTCATTTTATTATTTTATTTCTATTCATTTTAATTTCATTTTCTTACCTACGTGACTTTACCGAAAGAACTAAGAGTATGAATCCTTGTAGTCACGAAAGCTTCAAATCTTTTGCAACAAGTTGGACCACGTCACCAGAACTAGCTCTGCGGAATCTTCTTCTGGGGGCATTTTGTGACACGCGATGCTTTGGTGACAGTGGGCATTCTGGGAAGGGTATTTTTCTTCATCGCGTGGCATGGCTCGGGCAAGGTTGCGACTGTTGTGCAATTGGGGGGGGGGGGGGGGTTCAAACAAAAAGAAGACAACCGCTGATTTGTAGATTTGAAGTTTTCGTGACTGCAAGGATTCATACTCTTTGTTTTTTTCGGTAAAGTCATGTAGGTATAAAATTTAAATACATTAAATCACGTTTCGGAGGCAACACAAGCCTCCGTCTTCAGGTGGAACCTACGTGACTTTACCGAAAAAAACAAAGAGCACTGATTTGTAGCTGCCGTTTCTCGGGTCTCTCCTTTGAAAAATAGATCATTACTTTCAGTGCTTCTCTCTTGCATTTCATACAAAATATCGATAGATTCCACAAGCCGGTAATTCTCCGCTAAGTAATGTGGCAACAATGCGCCTTGAAAGGTTCATCTCCCTTTGTTGTTCAGCGCTTTGAATAGAAATGTTATTGGAGAATGTCAGTCCGTCAGTGTATTATTTAACGCACCGTGGATATATTTGCATAATTAATAGACACACGCTTTTGCTATTAGAATATTTTAGCGCAATAACTTATCGAGAGTTAATTTTTTTAAGACTTTTTTTTAAATGTCCGAGCACGTGGTTTCTATTATTTTTTAATTGCAAACTCTAAATAACTTCCCTTCCGTCCTGTCGGGCACACGCTGTGCTCGAAGTTTAAGCACGAGTCTCTGGGTAATAGCGCACTGCTTTATGTTCGTGAATATTTGTGCGTGCGCATCAAGGGTAATGGAAGATTATCGCGTCCCTACTTGATGGCGTTCGGGGTTTTTCTTGGTTGCTCGGGATATGTGCGAGCTAAAATGCACGGATGGGCTGCGGATAGCACAGCGCAATGCTCCCAATACTCGGCAGAAGGAAATTGAATCTGCCAGATTCTCTTGAGCTACGTCTCGTAGGGGTTTCTCATCATCAAACTCGGACTCACACCTAAGCGGAGAGGGTCCTTTGCCGATAAAAAACAAATCTGGCAGGTCACCAGCATTGGTGACCTGATGAGACACTCACCTGGCGGGCAGGAGGTCGTGGATTCGATCCCGACCCTGACGCCTGCTGCTGTATATGTGGAGTCTGCGTGTCTCTCTCCCCGTGGTCGCGTGAATTTTTCTCTGGGTCCTCCGGTTTTCCCCTCCACACTGACAATCAGCACGCGTTTAGAGTATTTGGCCGCTATACATGTCCACGTGATAAGCCACTTCGTTGCGCTATTATTTGTGGCCAGGTCGTTTCTGAAATAGAGCTACATAGCTCAGTGAGCCATACCTGGTAAAATGAAATATTTTAGTTTAAATTTCGATTGAAAGCTTACGTGACTTGCAGGGATTCATATTCTTGGTCCTTTCGGTAAAGTCACGTAGAAGGGAAATAATCAAATAATAAAAAATAAAACATAATAAAATAATAATTTTATTTTATTATGTTTTATTGTAAAAATACGAATTTAATTGTATTATGTTTTATTTTAAAACATAATAAAATAATATTTTTATTATGTTTTATTTTTATTATTTTATTATTTCCCTTCTACGTGACTTTACCGAAAGAACCAGGAATATTCTAGTTTAGTTTATTAACGTACCGCCTTCCCGACCCCAACCCTCCCCCCCAGCTCTGCAGTGCCCTACATACGAAGGTTGTTGCGTGCCAACTAATGAGCGTTCACCCGTGACGGCGCCCAGAGAAAGCTCACGCACGTGCGAGAGGGCAACGCTCGATCCCCTACTGCCCTCTCCTCGTGAGCCACGGCACGAGAGGGTGCCCCTCGACGCCCGCGGGAAGGGAGATTCAGAGCGTCTGTGCGGCAATCCACCCAACCCTCTGTGCAGCCTCCGCAGTGCTGGGTTACAGGCAGCCAGCCTCGCTGTGCAGCGTAGCCAGCAACGCCGGGCAGAGCTCATGGGGTGGATACATTTTAAAGAGGCAAGGGACGAGGAAAATGCAAGCAAAGCGCAAACGGCAACGTAAAAATGAGACAAAACAGAATTGTCTTCTTGGTTCTTTCGGTAAAGTCACGTAGAAGGAAAATAATAAAATAATAAAAATAAAACATGATAAAATAATTCTCACGACGTTTCGGCCACAACGCAAGCAGCCGTCTTCAGGTCTGTCAAGTCGACAGAGTCTGAATGACTCTGTCTACTTGACAGACCTGTTCTCCACAACGCAAGCAGTCGTCTTCAGGTGCAGAACAGGTCTGTCAAGTAGACAGTCATTCAGACTCTGTCTACTTGACAGACCTGAAGACGGCTGCTTGCGTTGTGGCCGAAACGTCGTGAGAATTATTTAATGATGTTTTATTTTTATTATTTTCCTTCTACGTGACTTTACCGAAAGAACCAAGAAGATGAATCCCTGCAGTCACGAAAGCTTTAAATCGAAAAAAAATA